ACGTAACAAATGCTGTGAGGACATACAGAAAAGGGAAAGCTTATGTACTGATAATCACAATGGTGTGATCACTCACCTACAGCCAGATGTCCTGGAATGTGAAGTCAAGTGGGCCTTAGGAACCATCACTAAAAAACAAAGCTAGTGGAAGTGATAGAATTCCAGTTGAGCTATTTCAAATCCTAAATGATGATGCTATGAAAGTGCTGCACTCAATATACCAGCAAATATGGAAAACTCAGCAGTGGCCACAGGACTAAAAATTGTCAGTTTTCATTCCAATTCCAAAGAAAGGCAATGCCCAAGAAAATTCTCAAACTACTGCACAATTGCACTCATCTCACACACTAGCAAAGTAATGCTCAAAATTCTCCAAGCCAGGCTTCAACAGTATGTGAACTTCCAGATATTCAAGCTGGATTTAGAAAAGGCAGAGGAACCAGTGATCAAATTGCCAACATCCATTTGATCATCAAAAAAGCAAGAGAGTTCCAGAAAAACATCTACTTCTGCTTTATTGACTATGCCAAAGCCTTTGACTGTGTGGATCACAACAAACTGTGGAAAATTCTGAAAGAGATGGGAATACCAGATCACCCGACCTGCCTCCTGAGAAATCTGTATACAGGTCAGGAAGAAACAGTTAGAACTGGACATGGATCAACAGACAGGTTCCAAATCGGGAAAGGAGTACATCAAGGCTGTATATTGTCACCCTGCTTATTTAATATATACAGAGTACATCATAAGAAATGCTGGGCTGGATGAAGTGCAAGCTGGAATCAAGATTGTGGGGAGAAATATCAATAACCTCAGATATGCAGATGACACCACCCTTATGGCAGAAAGTGAAGAAGAACTAAAGAAACTCTTGATGAAAGTGAAAGAGGAGAGTGAAAAAGTTGGCTTAAAACACAACATTCAGAAAACTAAGATCATGGCATCTGGTCCCATCACTTCATGGCAAATAGATGGGGAAACAATGGAAACAGTGGCACACTTTATTTTGGGGGGCTCCAAAATCACCAAAGATAGTGACTGCAGCCATGACATGAAAAGCCGCTTGCTCCTTGGAAGAAAAGTTATGACTAACCTAGACAGCATATTAAAAAGCAGAGACATTACTTTGCCAACAAAGGTCCATATAGTCATAGCTTTGATTTTTCCAGTAGTCATGTGTGGGTGTGAGAGTTGGACTATAAAGAAAGCTGAGCGCTGAAGAATTGATGCTTTTGAACTGTGGTGTTGGAGAAGACTCTTGAGAGTCCCTTGGACTGCAAGGAGATCCAGCCAGCCCACCCTAAAGGAAATCAGTCCAGAATATTCATTGGGAGGACTGATGCTGAAGCTGAAACTCCAATACTTTGGCCACCTGATGCGAAGAACTGACTCATTGGAAAAGATCCTGATGCTGGGAAGGACAGAAATGTGGGAGGAGAAGGGGACGACAGAGGATGAGATGGTTGGATGGCATCACCAACTCAATGGACATGAGTTTGAGTAAGCTTCAGGAGTTGGTGATGGACAGGGAAGCCTGGCATGCTGCAGTCCATGGGGTCACAAAGAGTTGGACACAACTGAGTGACTGAACTGAATTGATCTATTGTTGGTGGGAATGTAAATGGGTGCAGCCCATTTTGCCCTAGTGGGCAAACAGAAAGGCAGTTCCTCAAAAAAATTAAAAATAGAACTACCGTATGATCCAGCAATTCTACTTCTGCATATTTATCCAAAGAAAAAGACTAACTTGAAAAGATCTAAGCACCCCCATGTTCTCTGCAGTGTTATTTTCAATAGTCAAGCTATGGAAACAACCTCAATGTCCCTTGATGGATGAATGGATGAAGAAAATGTAATATCTAAAATGCAATATTTGTTCTTGTTTAGTCACTAAGGCTAAGACACTAAGTTGTCTGACTCTTGTGACTCCCATGGACTGTAGCTCACCAGACTCCTCTATCCATAGGATTCTCCAGGCAAGAATACTGGAGTGGGTTGCCATTTCATTCTCTGGGGGATCTTCCTGACCCAGGGATTGAGCCAGATCTCCTGCACTGACAGGCAGATTCTTTACCACTGAGCCACCAGAGAAGCCCCAATAAATGTTCACTGAAATGCAAAACAAATGAGACCAGGGGAAATACCAGGCTAAAAAGGTGCATTTTATTTTTGATTGATCATTTGGAAAGGCTGTTCCTCTCTGATTTGATTTAGTTGGCAAGTCACAAATTAAAAAGTTCTGTAGGTCCTTAGCAGATGGCGTTCTCACTGAGTAAGCACAACTTGGCAGTTGGAATGAGGCTGCCCCTTTTATGTGAGAAGTTCACTACCCAGACCGAGGAAGTGTATCTCTGCTGCCACAAAAAGGAATGAACTCTTGCCATTTGCAATGTGAATATACCTTGAGGGCATTATGTTAAGTAAGTCAAAGAGAAAAAGATAAATATCATATGATCTCTCTTACATGTGGAATCTTAAAAACCCAAAGAACTAAAACAAACTGAGCTCATGAATATAGAGAACAGACTGTTTTCCGACAGTGGGGGCTGGGAGTTGGGCAAAATGGGTGAAGGGGGTCAAAAGGTACAAATTGCTAGTAATAAAATGAAAAACTTATGGGGATGTAATATACAGCCTGGTGACTCTAGTTAATAAAACTGTATTGTATATGTGAGAGGAGCTAGGGGAGTGGATCCTGAAAGGTCTTATCACAAGAAAACCATTTTTAGTAACTATGTATGGTGATGGATGTTAAATGGACTACTGTTATGGTCATTTTGCAATATACACAAATATTGGGTCATTATGTTGTCCACCTGAAACTAGTATGTTAGATGTCCATCATACCTCATTTTTTTTAAAAAAAAAAAGAAAATGCTCCAGTCCTCTGAGCTGGTCTTTGGCAAGAACCATGACCTGCTCAACCACATGCCAGGAAGTCTCATCAGTAGCAGCAGTAGCAATAACGAAACAAAAAAGTAATTTAAGATGAATGATGACTAAATGGGAGAAAGTAAGTTTAAAATCCTTAGGTATGAGAACACCAAGTTTTTATTACAGTTTCACTGAAATATGTCTGTATGGGATGATAGAAGTGGTAGAAGAGTGTAAAAAAAAAAGGTTGAAATTACATTTTTCTTATTCTAACAATCACATAAGCCAATCAAACTTTTCTTTGAAGGCTCAGCTTAAAATGTCAATGTAAATATGTTGGAAGGGGGAGGTCACCTATCAATACCTTGATATCAAGGATCTTAACCAACTAGTTGATTAGTAACTTAGCAAGTACCTGAAGGAGTGGGCTAGACTAGGGCAGGGGTCAGCAAACATTTTGTGTACAGGGCCAGAGAGTAAAGATTGTAGGTTCCATGGGGCTGGCTGGTCTCTGTTCTAATGGTGCCATTAGATGCTATTCCATGGTGCCACTGTGGAATACGGCTAAAAGCAGCCGTAAAGAATGCACAAATGAGCAAGCCCTGGCTGCACTTTAATACAATTTTACTTACAAATGCCATAGTTTGCCCAACAGAGAAAAAGCAAGTTGTTTGTCTTTTTTTATTTTTCCATGGAAATAAGAGGAGGTCGGGAAATGTATAGTTATGGGATAGAGCCTGCAAGGCCAGTTCCCCACCCGATGGAGTGTTGTCGCCTTGTGCTACCCTAAGAGCAAGCCCCTAGCTGGGACAAGGGGACATAAGGTGGAGGTCAGGTGGCAGGGATTGGAGGTAAAGACGAGATAAATTAGGTTCCTATCAAGGGAGCCCCAAACTTTTTATATGGCTCTTCAGAGTTCATGGGAAGTCCAAGTACATGTGGAGAATAAACAGTTTTATTATTCAATGTCTTAATGCTGAAAAGTTAAATTGTAGCCTTTGATTAAACCAAGATTGTTCTGAACATCTAATTCTGTTTACTGTCATGTGTGTGTGTGTGTGCACAAGCATGCACTCAGTTGTGTCTGACTCTGTGAACCCATGAACTACAGCCCGCCAGACTCTTCTGTCCATGGGATTCTCCAGGCAAGGATACTGGAGTGGGTTGCCATTTCCTTTTCCAGGGGATCTTCCCAACTCAGGGATTGAACCCACATCTCTTGCGTCTCCTGCATTGGCAGGCGGATTCTTTACCACTAGCACCACCTGGGTGAAACATTCCTCCCAAAATATGCAACACCACATCTATGACCCAGCACAGCATCCCACCTCTTCAATCAGATTGGCCATTCTTATTGACAACATGCTTCAGGACAAAAATCAAGCAAGTTCTAATTCAATCCTTTCAGTTTCTGGCTTTTTTTCCCCTCCCAAAAGACACTGGTTGCCTCATTTTGTAGCTACAAAACTTACACAGCTAAGAAGGGCACATTTCCTAGAAAAGCCATCCCCCCAACTCTGAAGTTCTTAGGAGTCACCTGGAGGTCTTGCTAACAGGTAGTTTCTGATCCAGTGTGTCTTGGGTGGGAGCTTGAGAATCTGCATTCCAAACAAGCTCCCAGGCTGACACAGCTAGTCCATGGACCATGGTTCAGAGAACTGCTTTTCTGAAAGATGCTCACCTGCCTCTGAGGAGCTCTGTGGGAGCTGGGGAAGCTCCCTGAGGTGGCATGTGGGGCCTGAGGACCCCTGGACTCTTCTCAGTTCTTGAGTCAGCCTTCTGGGTAAACAACAGATAGATGGCCTCCCTCCCAGGCATACCCTGGCCGGGTTCAGCAAAGACAATTTATTCTTTGGCTGAACCTGAACAGCATGTCAGTTAGGCTTATTAGTGAAGACAAACCAACCTCATTATTTGGAAAACGATTGGGTTAGCTCTGGGGTGTCAATGCTAATCAGGTTATAGTCCAACCCAGAAATGAATGGTGGGAGTTCTGAAGTGCCAGTTCCTGAAGTTCCGGGGAAATGGATTAAGAACTGAATCTAGCCTTTGCTTTTGAATGAAATGGTCGGGCCCTTCCTGTTCAGAGGTCTCCCTCCTGCCTCGGCCCTGCTGCCAGGACTCACCTGTAGCAACCCCAGCTGTAGCCGGTAGAGGAGGTTTCGGGCTGTGGGGGTGGACACAATGAACAGTCTCCTTTTCTCATAAAACTGATCCAAAAGTGCAGCTGCTGTTCTCACGCCGACATTGACATTCATGGCTGTAATCAGAAACAGTTAGGTAGATCAGAAACCCTCTACTGCTTCTGGCTCAATACAGCCTGTGATGAGACACAGAAACATATGTGTAAGAAGTAAACCCTGAGATAAAGACTCAACTAGAAGTCTTCAGTTTATTCTGGAGGTGGTCCCAAAGAGCACTCAGTTGGGGAATGGGGACGCATGTTAGTTTCCTCAGGCTTGTGGTCAACTCATCACCACAAACCTAGGGGCTTCACACACATTTTCTTACAATTCTGGCAGTGCGAAGTTTGGAACGGGTTTCACTGGGGTCAAGTCAAGGCTGTTGGCAGGGCTGTGCCCCCTCCCCCGCCACCCCCAACCCACATGCCCTGGGGGAGCATCTGTTTCCTTGCCTTTTTTCCAGAATCTAGAGGCCGCCTTGCATTCCTTGGCTCCTAGCCTTTCTTCCACCTTAAAAGCCAACAGCACAGCAGTTTCCAACCTCACTCCTCTCTGAGAGCAGTTCCACCTCCCTCTTATTAAGGATGCTTGGGATTCCATTGAGCCCACCTGGATAATCTACGGGCTTCTCCCCATCTCAAAATCCTTAATTTACAACTTCCAAGTCCCTTTGGCTACATAAGGTAACACATTCACAGTTTCTGGGGATTACGACGTGGATATGTTTGCAGCTTACTGGAGGTGGGGGGCATTACTCTCCTACCCCAGGAAATGAGACAGGGAAGGAAAGAGGGATGTTCTTTGTATTTTAATGAAATTTAAGAGCCTCAGGCATTTAGCTGTTGATGTCTGTATCTGTGTCTCCGTCTCTCTCTCTGAGCTAATTCTGAGCAGCTAAGATTAAAGGGAAAGCATAAAGATGAGAAAGTACTAGGAAATGAGAAAAAGTGGAGTACAGAAATAGAAGCTATGTCCAGAATTTTCTGGCTAGTCCAAATGTCACACTATGATTGCTACCCAGCCCAATTTTTGTTCCTCAGTAATAACAGCTGACAGGTATTGAAAGTTTTAGTTTCGTTATTGTTGCTGTTATCTAGGCTAGAACACTGGAGTGGGTTGCTGTTCCCTTCTCCAGGGGATCTTCCCAACCCCGGGACCATATGCCAAGTCTTGCTCAATTCCACTGTTCAATAGATGACCTCATTTCATCCTTTCAACAGCTCCAGGAGAAGGTAAAGTATTTGCTTCCTCATTTGATGTTAGGAGGAAAGATCCCGAAGGCCCAAGATCTGAGGGACTTTCCACCTAGTGCTGCAAAGCAGGGGCTCTATCATCTGTACACAGTAGCGTACTGGCTTTGAAGAGAAGAACAAGGGTATAGATTTTTTTGTTTGGGTTGCATGAGGTTTTAGTGGTGGCAAGCTACTCTTTATTGTGGCATGTGGGATCTAGTTCCCTGATCAGGGATCAAACCCTGGCCCCCTGTATTGGGAGCCCAGAGTCATAGCCATTGGACTGTCAGGGAGGTCCCAAGGGTGCAGACTTTGCTAATTCATAATGCCACTGATTTATAATGAACCCTGGGCTCCTACCTCCAGCTTCCTCCTTAGAGGACATTTTTTTTTTTTTTTTTTTGAAGGAAAGAGCGCTATTTATTAGGTTGTGAGTTTCTGTTTCGCCTTTACAGATGCACAAAAGGTCACTGAAAGTATAACTAAGGGAAAGACGTCAGACGAGCCTAACAGAAGACTTCCTAGCTGTGGGCTGGCGGCTGGGCCCCGCGGAGGGGGTCAGCCGCGCCGGCCCAGCGCTGCGCCCGCCGGCCTCTCCCCAACACGCTGACAGCGCCTGGCATCGTGGTCACCGTAAAATAACTTTCATTGGCATCCAAGCTTTATAAAAACACCTTCATTTTTCTCAAAAAAGGCAATCAATAGATACAGAGAAGCCAAACTGAACAGCCTCAACAAAATAAAATTAACATCAGCAGCAAATCCTCTTGCTGAAGACGTGGGGTGGTGCTCGTGCACCAGACTTAGAGGACATGTGAGAGGAATCAGAAGATGAGCAGAGGCGAAGGAGGAGAGTGGGAAAGACGGGCTGCCCAGTTATTGGAAGACTGTTATCACCCAACAGATGAAGATGGCTGCTGGCTGGAGAGAGAGCTGCCCTCGTACCTGTGCAGGTGGGTTCAGCGCCAGACCAAGCCAGGTTGGACTGACATACTCGGGCAGAGCTCCCCTGGAGCTCGTAGCCTCCTACGCAGGAGAATTCACACACGGCCCCATAATTATCGCCGTCACTGGAGCACTTCATGTAGCCGTTCTCCGGGGCATGGAGCTTGCCGCAGCGTCTCACTGTGTGGGACACAAGCCCAGAGGATGCTCAGTGCTGAGTGCCGCCCGCCCCCCCCCCCCCCCCCCCCCCCCCCCCGCCCACCAACCACAAAGTAAGCAGGGAAGAGGAGGAGTCAGAAACACCAGCTTCTACACTGGGCGGGTGTGTAGGGAGGGGCAGGTGTGGCTACCTGCCAGTGGGTGGGCCTTGGGAGGGTCACTGTTCAAACCAACAAGACCACTGAGATGAACTGATTCAGCTCCCCATGGTCTAGATGAGGAGGTTGAACCCAGAAGAGGAAGGAGTAAAGATGGCTAGTCATTAGCTACCCAAACCATGAAGCTCAAACTAAACCTTAAAAACCTTTTTTTCCCACAGGTTCTGGAACACCAAGAACATGATCAGCTGGTGGGCTACCTAAGGGGCTCCTAACCTCCTTCATAGAAGGACTCAAATAGGCTTTGGCTGGTCACTGAAGCCCAGGAGTGGAAAAGCTTTTTTTTTTTTTAGTTTTTACTTTTATTTTTTTTCTCCCAATTATTTTTATTAGTTGGAGGCTAATTACTTTACAATATTGTAGTGGTTTTTGCCATACTTTGACATGAATCAGCCATGGATTTACATGTGTTCCCCATCCTGAACCCCCCTCCCACCTCCCTCCCCATCCCATCCCTCTGGGTCTTCCCAGTGCACCAGCCCTGAGCACTTGTCTCATGCATCCAACCTGGACTGGCCATCTGTTTCACACTTGAAAATATACATGAAAAGCTATTAAATACTATTGTTCTGGGACAGCCAGCGATGGGCTCATGTAAGACGAGCTTACTGCTCTCTTGGACTCCTTCAATCATCTGCCAGCACTCAACCTCATCCGGATTTGAATTGTGAAATTTAGGCAGTGAGGTGGCACCCTTCCCCTAGCCTCATGATGAGAGGCAAATCCAGAGCTGGCAAGTCTCCCTCTGACAATGGGCACTCACAGAAGGTTCTAGCTTGAGCCTCTGCTTCCCTCTGTTCTTACAAAGAGAGGGAAAAAAAAAAAGCCAAGAAGCAGTCATCTTACCTCTTACTTTAACTCGAAATTTGCAAGTGCCCTTGTTCTCGGCTCTGTCATAGACTGTGTACTGGATCTTGTGGTCTCCTTCTGGAAAATGCGAGCCTGGGGGTGGGCCTTTTAGAATAACACTTAAAGGGGGAAAAAATCAGAAACACCAAAGATGATCGCTGTAGGCCCTAACAACAATCAGGCCATGATGGCCTAAGGATCAAAGAGGACCATCATGAGTGTTTGTTGAGTACCCATTCTGTTCAAGATACACAGACTCCAAGGGACTGCCATTAGGCCAGTTTTACTAGTTTAATTCTCACAGAAGAGAATTTTCTGAGCTTTACTCTGTAAAGTGCAGTTTGAGACCAGAAAATGGAAGTCCCCAGTTTCTGGGAAGATCAGACTAGTTTTTCATGTTGGGATGTAGAACAGAGGATGGGAGACGCTAAGAACCCAGAGCCCAAGTCTTCCTTCCTTTGGTCCAAGGGAGACCTGAACTGCTGCCTGATTGGGAGGATGAGGGAATTTTCTTTGAGGGAAATCATTTGAGAGGGTAGTCCCAGCAGTCACTGGCAATTTGGGCCTGCAGGGGGCACTAGAACTTTCTTTGCTTTTTCTATCTCAGCGACGACCTTTCCTGAACAAAAGGCAAATTCACTGTGATTTTCATGGTGATCACAATAATAACTCAAGTTGTTATTATCTTTATTATTAGTTAGTATTATTATCATTATTATTATTCTTTGTGCTGTGTATGCTGAGTCACTCAGTCCTGTCTGACTGTTTGCAACCCCATGGACTGTAGCCTGCCAGGCTCCTCTCTCTCTGGGGATTCTCCAGGCAAGCATACCGGCGTGGGTTGCCATTCCCTCTTCTAGGGGATCTTCCCAACCCAGGGATCAAACCCAGTTTTCTGTATTGCAGGCAGATTCTTTACCTTCTGAGCTACCAGGGAAGCCCAGTATATAAACCTTACACATGTCTGGCCTGGTTCTACACATTTTATATATATATATATCTATATGTGTGTGTGTGTGTGTGTGTATGTATACACACACATACATATACAGTAGTTTATTTAATCCTCTCAACAACTCTATGACATAGGCATTATTATATCCATTTCACAGATGAGGAAACTGAGCCACCAAAAGATCAAGGAACCCACCCAAGGTCACAGAGCAAGGGTGACTCCCACATCTTTCTTCTCAGTTGTCTGATAAGAATATCAGTAGGTACAATATGATCAATTGTTTTTCAATAGATAATTTCCCTTCTCTCTACACGTCTGAGGAATGAAAAGAATATTGACTGACAATGTGCATGTGAAATTCTCACTGTCACCATTGAGGAGAACCTTCCACACAGGTGGACAAGGCAGTTGTTTACAAGTATGCAGTGAGGGGTGTTACAAGAGTGCCAGACATCCCAGCATTACAGACGTGTCACGCTGGGCCTTAGGTGCTTTAAGGTCCTCATCAGCAAGCACACTTTAAAAGCAGATAAACCTGAGGGGAATCAGACTTCAAACATGAGTGGCCACTCACCTCTTGGAGACTCTCTTTCATGTGTGACATGCAAATAACAGTCATAGGGCATAAATACGGGAGCTCATAGGAAGCAGCCTTCTCAGCACCTAACACTAGAACCTTCCCCTCCAGAAGGGGACTACAGAACAGAAGCGTGCGAAAGACATGAGGAAAAGAAGAGAAATGCCAGAGAAGCAAAGAGGCCAAGCAAGAGCTGAAAAGGAAAGGAAAAGACAGCCTTATCTGAACTCCTCATTCTGCTCCACACCTCTGATGGCTCTGGGCTGTAGAATTTAGCAAGCCAATAGCTGTTCTGAACAGACGGTTCAGGCTACTAAGATGCTCTTTCAAAATGTCACATTTCTAACTGTAACACACAGATTACCACGAAAATGCCAAGGTGAATATCCTTGCTAGATAACTAGAGTCATCTGATGACCTGATATTGTGTGTATATTATACCAGATTTCAATAGCAATCGCAGTTGTGAGAATCTAAGAATCTGTTATAGGCTAGGGGCAGAGCCAGGCATCGTGCCGGGCCCCAAAAGATTCAACAATTGGTAAAAGCCAATCCCTGATATCAAGGGCTTCCCAGGTGGCTCAGGGGTAAAGAACCCGCCTGCCTGCCAATGTAGGAGATCAGGGTTTGATCCCTCCCTGGGTCAGGAAGATCCCCTGGAGGAAGAAATGGCAACCTACTCCAATTTTCTCCCTGGAGAATCCCATGGCCAGAGGAGCCTGGCAGGCTAAAGTCCATGGGGTCACAAAGAGTTGGACATGACTGAGCACACAAACATGACACATGACATGGTTATATCAACTGTGACTTATATTTTTAATCCCCATTGCCTAAAGTTTCTCCTTAAGGGGTGACATATGTATGTGACAGCAAATAAATAATTTCTTAATACTCACACTTTATCTTTGAGGAATTACAAGGGGAAACATAACAAATATGATCTAAGCTAGATGGTGGGAAAAAGTATCAGGCTGTCAGAACAAAATGTCCTAGGGGTGAAAGACGGAGCCTCTTCCTAGAAGAAAATGTTCTTTTATGGCTAATAATGGCTTAGAAACATATTCTCTTGCCCAGCCTGGGTTGACAGAATTCTAGAAAGCCTTGCCCTGCTGTATGGCTCACCAGGGGTAAGTCAGAGGTGTTCTTTGTCCACAGATGGAAACTCGGTGGGGAGGTCTAATAGGACCGTGTACTCTAGGCATGGATGTGAACATGCCACTTCATGTCTGAAGAAGTGGCCTCCAGGGAACATGAGGGCCTATCCATAGCCGCAGGGGCACAGGCGCAGCTGCTAGATTAGAACAACATGTGGCTGAACTTCACTGAAGGGAACCACCCATTTTTAAAGATTTTGGGGATGTATTTCAAACTCTTTGTGCAGTTGGTCCTGGAGAAGGGGGTTGGGGTGGGGAAGAAGGCAGAAGGACTCCTTCTCTTTTATTTACAAGTGGTTTAAGTGTTTAATGGTCATATATTAAAAAATTAAAAATCAAAAGTTGTGAAAGAAACAGGTGCCAAAACACAAGAGGTTTTGGAGTTCTGCTCGAAAACATACTCCCTGAGCACAAGGGGGCGACGCTGAGCTCCACCTGGGAGACATAAGTTCCCAGGGAGGCGGTGGCTTAGGATGGCCTGGGTAGAGGGCCTAGCAGACAATGGCAGTGAGTCTTTCCCTGAATTAACCACTTGGCTTCCTCTTCCTCCTTCTGTCCCTTTTCCTCCTGTTTCCCCACCACTCCTTCTGACTTCCTTTCTTTCCTTCAACAAATAGTTACTAAGCAGCAACTATGTGCTAGGCATGGTTCTGGGCACTAAGGATATGGCTGCAAACATACTGTAGTTGAGACAGGCAATAAACAGATACATAAGTGAAGAATGTAGTATGCCAGACAGTGAAGAAAAATAAATGAATGAGGTGTGGCTGAAAGAGTGCTGTACCGAGTCCAAAAGCATACACTGACCAGCAGATACACACTTCCTTATTCTTGGTAGTGAACTTCTCACATAAACAGGCAACCTCATTCCAGCTGCCAAGTCGCACTTACTCAGTGAGAATGCCGTCTGCTGTGTCTCTTCCCTCGGGCGTCTCCCAGGACACTCGGGCTGTCAGCTTGTTGGGTTCTGCAACGCGTTCCTTCACACTTGGACACTTGATTCTAGGAGGTTCGAGATCTGAAAATATAATCAGAATATTCTCACCATCATCAGGAAATATCAACCTGGGGTTCGACACCCAACCCACCACTGGACATGCCCAAAGCTCTGTGCTGAGTTGTGTCTGACTCTTTGTGACCCCATGGACTGTAGCTCACCAGGCTCCTCTGTCCATGAGATTTCCCAGAGGAAGAATACTAAAATGGGTTGCCATTTCCTTCTCCAGGGGATCTTCCTGACCCAGGGATTGGACCCTTGTCTCTTGTATCTCCTGCATTGGCAGGCAGGTTCTTTACCACTGCACCATCTTTGTGGGTGCCCAAAGCTCTAGGTGCTCCCTATTTTTGAAGGGTTTCTTCACCCCTTCTGTATTTATCTTCTTTCCCTTCATCTTGCCCCTTCTTGTCTGCCGAGTTCAACTTTATTTTGTATTGGGATATGCATGCATGTTCAGTTGCTTCAGTCATGTCCGACTGTCTGCGACCCTATGGACTGTAGGTCATCAGGCTCCTCTGTCCATGGGATTCTCCAGACAAGAATACTGGAGTGGGTTGCCATGCCCTCCTCCAGGGGATCTTACCAACCCAGGGATCAAACCCGAGGCCTCCTGCATCTTCTGGATCACAGGTGGGTTCTTTACCACTCAGCCACCAGGGAAGCCCGTATTGGGGTAGAGCCGATTAACAATGATTGTGATAATTACAGGCGCACAGCAGAGTAACTCAGCTGTGTGTGTGTGTGTGTGTGTGTGTACACATATATTTGTATCAATTCTACCCCATTCTCCCCTCCTACCCAGGCTGCCACATCACACTAAGCAGAGTTTCCAGTGATATGCCTGCTGAGTTTTAAAGACTGTGTGAGTACTTACCTGTGTATGGCTAAACCAGCAATCAACTGGTCTTGCTAGTGTCTTGTAGGGTAATTTATCAGCTACAGCAACTTCTTCCCCATGCTTCCAAACTCTGCCTGTTGACTTGGCAACATAGCAGTTACCCAACTAGAAATCATTCAGCCATAGTGAGTCCTTCCTGCTTTAAAGACAGTATCATCAGATACTAGAGAAAAGTGCCTTAGGTATCATCTAGTTTGATTCAATTCAAGGCAACAAATCTTTAATGAGGACCAGCCTTCCCCAAGGCATCATTTCAGCTCCTGGGCTTGGGCATGCAAAGGCAAGAGAATCATGTTATTCTCAGAGTTGACATTCTGTTGAGGGGATTATGTCACCATATGTGAAATATGACACGAGGTAGAAAATTAACACTGCTCTAGACTACATAAAAGTAAATGCTATGGAGGCTTACAGGAGTTACCCAATGATCTCATTTTACAGATCAGGAAACTGAGCCTCAGACAGCATAAGTGATCTATTTAAGGCCAGGCATGGGAATAATGAGAATGTGAATTATAACCCAAATTAGAGCACTTATTCTTAGAACAGACTTCTTTGGTGACTCAGGGTAAAGAATCTTCCTGCAATGCAGCAGACCCAGGTTCAATCCCTGGGTTGGGAAGATCCCCTGGAGAAGGGAATGGCAACCTACTCCAGTATTCTTGCCTGGAGAATTCCATGGATAGAGGAGCCTGGTGAGCTGCAGTCCAAGAGGTCGCAGAGAGTCAGACATGACTGAGCGACTAACACATGCACACACAACGTGAAATCACAAGAAGGGAGAATTCAAACTTTTACAAGCTCTACTTGATGATTTTCAACAGGCAGAGAATGTATTTTTAAGAGGGCAGAGTAAATTAACATTTTGATTTGCATTATTTTACATGTCAACTGGTAATTGTTTATTTTTTTTCATTTATTTTATTAGTTGGAGGCTAATTACTTTACAATATTGTAGTGGTTTTTGCCATACATTGACATGAATCAGCCATGGATTTACATGTGTTCCCCATCCCGATCCCCCCTCCCACCTCCCTCCCCATCCTATCCCTCTGGGTCTTCCCAGGGCACCAGGCCCGAGCACTTGTCTCATGTATCCAACCTGGGCTGGTGATCTTTTCACCCTTGATAGTATACTTGTTTCAATGCTATTCTCTCAGAACATCCCACCCTCGCCATATGACCCAGCAATACCACTCCTGGGCATACACACCGAGGAAACCAGATCTGAAAGAGACACATGCACCCCAATGTTCATCGCAGCACTGTTTATAATAGCCAGGACATTGAAGCAACCTAGATGCCCATCAGCAGATGAATGGATAAGGAAGCTATGGTACATATACACAATGGAATATTACTCAGCCATTAAAAAGAATTCATTTGAATCAGTTCTAATGAGATGGATGAAACTGGAGCCCATTATACAGAGTGAAGTAAGCCAGAAAGATAAAGACCAATACAGTATATTAATGCATATATATGGTAATTGTTTAAATACTACTATAGCCTGAATGAAAATGAAATGTGCTTTGATTCTGAATCACAAACATTTCTGAGAGACTAAATGCACCAAGTCAAGTCTTCATATACTTTCTCTTGTGTCTTGTCCAATAACTGTCATTTTATTTAGGGAAAGAAATCACGAATAATTTGTTAAACAGTAGTGTCTTCAGCGATCCAAACTCATTTTCATTCAATGCCATGCCTCAGTGGAGGGTGAATTTACAGCCATAATATGCTAATCCTAAAGTGAATAACTATATTTTATTAAATCTAAGTCACCAATTGTGAGATGCATGCTAATTTCAGTGATAGTAACTGTGAAAAAAAATATGCTTCTTAGAACTTATAGTTTATCAACGAGATGGTGAGATGAAAGCTGCTTTAAATGAGTTAGAGGTGTCTATTTTCAGTTGCTAAGATGTTAAAAACAATCCTTTTTTGTTTTTACTATGAGAGGTGATAGAAGACATATTTTTATAGTTCAGATGAACATTTTTCAGCTTTGGGTGAATCAGAAAGATATGTATATAATACCTGCCCCCTGCTGGTCAAATATAGTCAGCAAGCTCATAATAGAAAGCATATTTATTTTTTAAAAAATTGAAGCCAAGGGACTCCCCTGGCGGTCCATGGTTAGGACTCTGTGCTTCCACTGCATGGGGTGCAGGTTCAATCCCTGATCAGGGGACTAGGATCCCACATGCTGCATGGCATGGGCAAAAATATTTTTTAAAAGAGGGGGGTGTGAAAATGAATTATATCTCAATTAAAAATGCTGTACTGTGGCCCAGGGGTAAAGAACCTGCCTGCCAATGCAGGAGACACAGATTTGATCCCTGGGTCGGGAAGATCCCCTGGAGAAGGAAACGGCAACCCACTCTAGTACTCTTGCCTGGGAAATCCCAAGGACAGAGGAGCCTGGTGGGCTACAGCCCATGGGGTTGCAAAAGAGTTAGGCATGACAGAGCGATTGAACAATAATACTGAATCTAGAAAAAAAGTTAAAGCCATAAAGGAGGGGAGGAGGAAGGGAAATAGATTTCAATATAAAATTACTTAGTGTTACCATATTTTCTTGGAGCGACACTGTCGGAGTGAAAAGATATTCTTACCCTTTGTGTCATGTAAACTAAACATCTGGATGATATGCTGGATTGTTTTCCCTATAAACTAGACATACTGACACTGAGCAAACACAGCTCCAAATTAGGTTATCTGGGTGAATAGTCTCAGAGCTTCCCAAAGCCAGCTTCTGACAGCTAACAATGATCAGTTGAACTTGGCCTACTTTTTCAGAAGCGGTGTTCTTCCAAACAAGAACCAAGAGGAAATAAAGCACTAACGATAATAACTAATATTTATTTACTGACCCTCCCTGCATTATTTCACTGAATTCTCGCCACCAACCACTAGACTAAATCTTGTTGTTATCATCCCCATTTATAGTCTGGGAAGCCTTTCCTCTCTTTGGGAACTTCTTTGCGGTCTGGGATTTTAAGACATGATCACATATTTTTAAATTATTTTAATCAGTCAAAGACTTCTGTGTGTCTGCCTACTGCTGAGCTAATTATTTCCCTCCATCCTCTGCATACACATTCTTTACTGGTCATCGCATCCACCTTCCTCATAAACCCTGGAAAAGCGGCAGCAGAGCGGACCCCTGTCAGATTCTCAAGCATCAGGCCCTTTTTTTCAGCTGATGAGACTAGCTGGCCTGCCCTCCAGCAGATGCTCCAGAAACTGAAGCCTATTATTACACAGCCGTGGCCATCATTGCTATTTCTACATTATTATAAATTTCCATGAATCAAATAAACAAAGTTACTATAGAAACCTGATCACAATTCCTTGTTGAGTCAGAGCACCCACAGGGCCAGTTACGGTGTGGCAACCCGGCAACTCTCACGAACATCCTGGCCTCTGCCCCACTCACTGGAGACAACTGACAAACTATCCCCTGCCTCTGTGCTCTAGTTTCTTCTCTGAATATAAAATACCAGAAACAAACATGTCACACTGTGTCAACCACTGTTTATCTGTGAAGCTATACTACATACTTGGGAATATTTACTATGTCTAACCAGATAGATGGTGGGAATAAAAAAGAGGGTGAGGGCTTCCCTGGTGGTCCAATGGTTAAGAATTTGCTTGCCAGTGCAGAAGATACAGGTTTGATCACTGGTCCAGGAAGATTCCCCATGCCGTGGAGCAAGTAAACCCATGTGCCACAACTCCGGAGCCTGTGCTCCAGAGCCCAGGAGCCGCAACTACTGAAGCCCATTCACCCTAGAGCCCGTGCTCTACAACAAGAGAAGCTACCAGGATGGGAAGCCCGCGCATCACAAGTAGAGAGTATCTCCCATTCTCTGCAAGTGGAGAAAAGCCCATGTATGTCCATTTCTTCAGAAGAAAAGAAATTTTCCTGGGCCTGTGACCCTCCAGAAAGAAGATTCGATTCCAAGCCTTGTTTCAAGTTATCTATGGCCATGGGATGGGTTCCACCAGTGAGCTGTGAGAAAAAGTGACATGTGCAACTTCTGGGTTGTGCTTTAAAAAGGTATGTGTGTGTTTGGGGCAGGAGGTACTCTCCTCTTTCTTTTTCCTCCACCCTGGT